GGTGCCTTTTAATGAAGTAATTTATTAATTGAAAAAAATGCCAGCTTCTGGGTCAGAACAGACACAGAAGCTTATGTTCAATTTGCTCTCCCAATTGCTCATCTTGATTCACATGATCTCAGACTCCTGTGGCTCAAAATAACTCCCTCCAAGTCTTTTCAACTTTTGGAAAACTGAATCTATCAAGTCTAATTTCCTCAGCAGGTCTAGTAGCATCTGTGAAGGAGAAAACAGAGTTAACGTTTCGGGTCTGGTGACACTTTCTCAGAATAATTCTGAGAAAGGGTCACCGGACCCAAAACGTTAACTCTGTTTTCTCCTTCACAGATGCTGCCAGACCTGCTGAGCTTTTCCAGCAACTTTGTTTTTGTTCCTGATTTACAGTATCCGCAGTTCTTTTGGGTTTTTTAAGTCTAATTTCCTCTCTGATAAGATCACCATTCATCAAAATTCATTGTTAGTAATAGAGCTGCTTCTCATTGTATTTTACTGATCAGACCAATATCAATGCTGACTCCTTTCCCGACAATCAACTTTGACTAAATTGTACACTGGTCTAACCATTATCCTCCTCAATTTCGTAATTCAGCCAATCTATTGGATCATTCATTACTTTCCAACCTACCTCCTACACTGTGTTTGCCATTTCATCATTCACTTCTTTATGTTGTCTGCCTTATATCCACTTCTTAGAGGATAACATGGAAAAATAAAATTAAAAAATACCTCCAGGCCCCTTCGATTCTAAAGAAAAATCACATTGGACTTGAAACATTAACCCTGTTTCTCCCTCCACAGATGCTATCAAACCTGTTGAGCTTCTCCAGCATTTTGCGTATGGGGGTGGGTATGTAACTTCAAAGTTATTGAAGAGCTACTTGTGGTTATATTACACATAAGCCTAGATATTCCAGCCATTGAGAGGGTTTCCCAACCTGTTAGTAACTCATCAGGGTCACTAAGGCCAGTGCACAGCAGAAAGTGTTCGTCAAACTGACAAACTCTGAAGGCTTTGATCAGTTACAAAGAAGAACTCCAGCCTTGGCCAGGTGAGAGGTTACTGTTCAAAACACTCCTCCCAGACTGTGCCAATATTTAGAAATTGGAGTGCATTTATATTCAGTTTGTTAGGATTTTTCAGAATATTTAGGACATTTAGAAAATCCAACATCATACTTAACGGTTTCAAGGGTCTTTTTCTAGAACACTGTAAGCATTTCAGGGAACCCAATTCACAAAGATCTTATGGTACTAAGGTTTTGATGAAATGAATTCTGGTGCCTGGATGTGAATGTTATCAAGTCAGAATCAAACGTAGGTCAAGGGTATTGTTCCTGGTCAAAGGATACCGCTTTTATTCAGTAACAGGACAGTTTAAATTTGAGGGCCAAGTTGGTCCTTATCTTATATATTTTCTCCCCACAGCTAAAACTTTGGAAGTTTTGTTTGTTCTATGTGACAGAAGCACACTAGCACAAAAATAGTTGACCTCTGGCACCAGCTGTGTTTGCTCCTTGCTGCTGTTATGCACCTTCAGTTAGACTGAAGAGGGTGTTTACTTACCACTCGTACTGATTGAAGTCCGTTCAACTTTCACTGCCTGACATTCAAGACAAAGAAGCACTCATTAGAGAGCTGCTCTATGCTAACAATTCCGCAGTGGCATTTCCTACCATCAGCGGACAACGACATTCAGCCTCCCATCTTTGGGTAAGCATCTTCCAAGGTGGCCTTCAAGATATACAGCAACGGAGAAATGTCAAGCAGAGACTGGTAACCAAGTTCCATACCCATGAAGACCGCCTCAACCATGATCTTGGGTTCATGTAGCCCCACTGTATTGTTCTGTATTTGTAGAATATTCCTTACTGTCCTGTTTTGACACCATCACCTTGATCACTTGTTATGATCTCTCTACCTTAATTAGTTTCTACAGTTTTGGATTACTTGTTACTTTGGCTAGACCCTCGACTGCGATTCTAATACCTATCATGTTACTCCAGTCAGAGATAGTAGAAACTGCAGATGCTGGAGAATCCGAGACAACAAGGTGCAGAGCTGGATGAACACAGCAGGCCAAGCAGCATCATAGGAGCAGGAAGGCTGACGTTTCGGGCCTACG